AGGCATCTCAACCCTGGACAACTGACCTTCAGAAGGCATATATATAATCAGGAAAGTCTTATTTAAGTTATTGGGGTTTTTTTTTGTATATTACCTAATTGAAATGTGCTGTAAGTGCAAAATACACATTGGACTTCAGAGGAAAAAACCTTAAAAAGATTACAAAGCTTGTCATTAAAATTTTATATTGAGTACATATAAAAATGATATTATTTGGGATATAACAACCATATAATAGAAATTATTTAATCATTCGCTTGGTCCTCTTTCCTTTTTTAAAAAGGTGACTACCAGAAATCGTAAAACCATGCACACAGCTCACAGTATAATTTTGTTGGGCAGTGCTAGGCTTGTGCTGCTTGGCTCTGTGGGCAGGGAAGAAGAGAGGAAGCACTGAGGCACAGTGGAGCCATACACTCAGCCAGGTTCCCATGCCAGGTAAGTGGAGGGGCTGGAGGCCAGCTCAGGTCTACCTGGCACATTGATTTCACCCACTGCACATAGCCTATCTCACCCAGAGTCTTTGGGTTCAGGCCTGAACTCAAAAACACTAACCTGAGCATTAACTCTTAAAAGGGTGGAATTGCTGTGTGCTTGAAGAGTTTCCCTGAATGTTCCTGAAAATGTTTGTAATTGGATGGGTTTTATATTATTATTAACAAGTTAGCTGTTTCCAACCATGGAATAGAATTTAATAGAATTAAATTTAATAGAATTTAATCTATCAAAAACAAGTTCTGAAACACAAATTACTGAACTCTGCTGCCTTGGATGCGGAAAAAAGACATTTAACTCAGGATGTTTGCCACAGATAAAAGCCTTTGTGATAAAACTTGCATTTGTTGCTTTATTTCTTCACTTTTCTGGAAACATAAGGTCTTTAATCCCTGTGACCAAAAGTGCCCATGGTGTAGTGTTCAGTGACAGCATAAACCATCTTGGTAATGTATCACTTTATAGGTTGCTTGTAGATATGGTTATGTGGGCCAAGGCATCCCTGGTAGGTAATAAGTGCATTCGGTATTATTTATGCCTTTGTTCGCTGATCTTATCCTCAACTGTGCTGTGATAAAGGTGCTAGATCGGCCCTTGCTCTATGAAGAGGGATACATTTCTGTTTGGAAATGTCTTAGCATTCCACATTTTAATTTCTTCTTCAAGACAACCACATAACAGTAACATCCTGATCAGAAGCAAAGAAGTATCAGGTCATCTCCCTATTAGGAGGCAACCAGAGACTTCTCTGGATTCTCTGGCAAGGATCTCCATTGTTGACACCAGTCCGCTACACACTATGGTCCCCTGAGGTTCTGCACTTCCAAGTGATTGTAAGACACATGCAGCAACAAACACCAAATGACCTTGGCTGTGATCATTTTCATCTCTCTCTTTCTGTATAATACTGCCACAATTGGCCAGAAATGGTACCCAGACTATTTAATTGCCTATGGAGCTACAGCATGAAGCTAACAAGCTATTCATTAATTCACCCGATGTACTCCCTCCACTTCCTGTGGTTTCTGTTCCTGGTTTAGAAGCAGAATTAACAAGTTTTTCCTAAGAGGCATATCTGTCCTGCAGCACTCAGCTCTTTGAACATTTAACTTCATCGTCCAAATCATTATAGAAAACACTTAATAGCCCTGGGCCCAGACCTGACCCCTGCAGATCCCATTTGCAAGGATCGTCAAAGACAGATGAATCACCGCCAGTAAGCACATTTTGCATTTGATTTCCAAATATAGGAGTAGTTTTGGGCAACTGTAGGTCATTAAACTTTTGTAAATTACATTTTCCCAAAGGCATATTTCACTAATACAATCAAAGGACAACGTGTGTCCCTGGCAGCATATGCTAATCTCAGAGGGACAAAAATCTATGTTCATGTAAACAGTTTACTGAGGCCAGATGAAGACACTGCCAACAATTGGTTCCTTCTTCATATTCATCATCATGTCCACTTGGGATTAAAAATGATGCTCAAATTTGTAGCACATTCTAATGCAATAAGCCACCTTGTTTTTCAAAAATCTATTTGCAATCTCTGGTTTCAGAATTAACTTATTCTAAGGAGACTGTGTGTGTGTGTGTGTGTGTGTGTGTGTGTGTGTGTTTGCTTCACACTGGGCAGGAGATGAGTGGTATCTAAAACTCAAATGCCTTTAAAGTCGAGACACTTAATTTAAAAGCATCAAGTTGCTGGTTGTAACCATCAAGAAATGGAAGATAATAACAAACAGGAACTTTAAGCCTCATTAAAATATACTGCACATACTACACTCCCCAATGGAAAACACGTCAGTTTAGATTCCACTACACAGTGACCAGTTTGTGATCTAGCTTTTAAGTTTAATCTCATTTGTAAGTTTTGGATCTAGGGTTAAAAGTGGCATGGGGTGAGGAAGTGAAGGGGCGTTTACTGTCTTAAATACCATTGGGTCCTGATATCCTGCTGGGAGTTGAAACAATCAAATTCAATATTAATCAGTTCTCACATGAACCTTTACTTTAAAATATGTTTGTCATACTGGCCCCTTTTCCCACTCATTCACGAGGTGCTTCCCCAAGTGACACGTATATTTGCTATCTACTGCAGACTGTGATCACTTTGATGGCAATCCAGTGTGATCTGAAAGGAATAGGACTCTGGTTTCTGCAGCCATCTGGAGACAGAAGCTGTCTACCTGCTGAGCATCAAGCCTCTCCCTGTGACTTCTCTGGAATGCACTGCTGTTGCCCTGCACAGAGGGTGAGAGCACCTTCTGTCTTGATAAGGTGCTCAGCCCTGCCCATCATAGGCCTTTACTGTGTATTTGAAAAAGGCAAACAATCCTTAATTTGCTGATTATGCTATCAAGATGTGCTCAGAGGCTGAAGAATGATTTTATACTTTTTGGTTTGCTTTTAAATTATTTTCTTTTCCCCTGAACAAAAATTTACAGAGAGGTCTAGGTCTGAAATTTAGTTGTATTAGCGGAGCCCAACCTCAGTCTGGAGAAAAATACAGCTGAAGATGGACTTTCAAAGTCATTTACTCTGCATGTTTAGTGCCCTACTGACAGTAATCACTACAAGTTAACCCTAAATATCCCTTCTTCTTTTATCTACAGTACTAAAAATAAAAGTGAGACCAGTTAAACTTAATAAAATTTACTTGAACAAGAAAAAGATTTTGGAACCAGTTGTAGACCAAAATAGTTTAGAATGTCCCCTCTTACAATGTAGTGAGCTAGCTGTATAATCAGAAAGACAAGAAATGATATACAGAAATAGTTACCAATTGGTGTAGCTTAGGGTTGCCTTATTTGGAATCCCACTTGGGATTGGTAAAAGGTGGCCACTGAAATAGGCTGGGGCTCTGCTATGCCTTAAGTGCCCCCCACCAAGTCTCATGCAGTCATGGAGGCAGTTGAATCTAGTGTTTGTGATTGTTTTGCTGTCTATTGCTGGCATTGGTGGCATGAGTGCTACACCTGCCCAGAGGCAAGTAAGTGGCATACAATATAAAGGAGGGAAGGAAGCATGCTTTTCCCTTTCTTGTCCATTCTCTCTTGTAGCTTGCAGCCATCATAAATGGATGCCCCTCAGCCCCGCCATCTTGCCTTGGAGTCAACTGAGTATGGACTGAAACCTCCAAAAACTGTTAGATAAATAAACCTTTGCTTTCTTCATTTTGGGCATCAGGTATTTTGTCTCAACAGTGAGAGAAAAGTAACCAAGACAGGCTCAGTTGCTCAGTTTCAATGGTAGACTCTTGGGTTCGAGCACAACTTGCTCGTGCATAATAAAGTTGTAGTTCACTATTCACCAGAGAACACTTGGAGCCAGATCTCATGGTTCATAGAGAGGCAGGTTTAGGCCAGATTTCAGTTTAATAACAGAATAATAAGACTTTGAAGTTTTGTTTCTTCTCTCTTTTCCTTTTCCTTACTGGTTGGAATTCATGTGGTGATGGCAATTGCAGAAGCAGCCTTTCTGTGAAATGATTCTGGGAATGGATGTCATGCAACATGGAGCATCAGGAGAAGCCTATGTTTCTAACACTGAGAAGAATCATTCTATCTTGGTCTCTATCTGAACATTGCCATGACAGTGAGCAAGGCATCTCTCATGTTTACACTGCCTACTTGAGGTGAGGGAGGTAGCTTCTATCACTCACAGCCAAATCTATTCCAAACTAATAAAAAATACCAAGTGGATGGATAGAAGTAGGCTCAGATATTCCTCACGTTGTTTCTCTGAGGTAGCGAGAAATGAAACCCCATCACTGATGTACTGTGCGAAACTCATTTTCCACAATCCCAGCCCAGCCCAGCCCCCAGCAACTGCAGTTCTCAGTGCTGCGTCCATCAGGCTCACAGCACTTACTGTGCCCTGCCTTTTCCTTGTCCTGTGTTTGCTGCCTTAGGTAGATGGTGGGACTTTGAGAATAAAAAATCTCTTTTGTCACTACTTTTCCCATTTACAGTGCAAAACAAAGCACTACTTAAGTTCCAGACACTCCATGAACTCCTCGATTGAAATAATTTGGAAGCTTTCTGGATCCTCACTCACCATATGTTCTTGTGCTTGTCTCTTCAGGTTTTCTACTCTTTAGAGAAATTCTGTTTACCAGGGACTGAGTTACAACACACTCTGAAACAAGCACTTAAGACTTGAGAAGGAAGAGGAAAACTCAGGGAGCCCCATTAACTCTGTGAGGCTTTCTTTGTGGGAATATGAACTTTCACCCTGCTTTCATCGGAATTAAGAAAAATCATAGACTTGAAAGGCAAATAAAAAAATCTTTAGTTAAAATTATACCTGAAATTTTTGGGTAGGGACAAGGTTAGAAACAAGATTATGCAGATTCAGTCTACAAAGAAGATAAATTCACATATAGATCTACATAATTTGTCTTATGAAAGATTGTTTAAAGTCTCAATTTTTCTATTGTTTTGAGACTTTAATCCTTTATTCCTGAAGAAGTGACCCTAAGAGGAAATCAAAAACACTAGTAATAAACTGAAGGAATGCTTTATTGCAACCACAAAGCACCATTTCAACAAGGTATCAACACACAGAAATTGAACAAATGTCTCTTTGAACAGAGATGTAGCAAGTGCACATTTTTCAAGTTCTTAAAAACAAGTACTTAAGCCAGGAATCAAACAAAGCATAGGACGATTAAAAAAATATTACAGCTTCATGAAGAGTATATATAAAAATATTCTATACCAATAACAGGCTTTTTTGATCTATAGCTCTTCGCAATTTTTTTTCAGAAACAAATGATTATAAATACAAGCCATACAGTAAAAAATGCTTTCTTCAGAAACAAAGAACCAATGGAAGCAAATCTATGCAGAAAAACCATTATCCTCATGATAGTTAGGTGAGTATGGATAGATATCCCCTGTATACAATGTAATTTCTCTTTTCAGAGCTACAATTCTGTTCCTGATGCATGTTCATTTCAAACATCGCAGTACGTCCCAGTGAAACCTTAATAAGGTCAAGTGGTGCACCTTCTATAAAAGAGGGTGTTGGCAATTCCATCCACGCAACACAAACTCTATAGAGCAGAGGAATTCAAAGGAGACAGTGATTACTTTCTCTTTTCTCCCCTTCTCTTCTTATTTTTACTCTAAGTCTGAAGATGCTCATTTCTTTAACTTTTCTTTTTAAAGATGCCTGAGAAAACAATCTATGAAGAAATGAAGAAAATCCTTATCATCTCAAGCCTTTGTGGAGAGGGATATCTAGCAGTGGCAGAGATCATTCTAGTCGACAAATTCCGCAAGAAAAATCATTCTGTGCTTGTCTGGTCCTTGTTCCTCCTAGCTGAATTCAAGCCAGCTGATGGATTGCCTCGTCTATCCAATAGGATAACTTTTCATTTGGTTGAAATTTTTACATATACATATGTATGTATGTATGTATTGATTTATAAAGTTTCATCACATGAAACTAAAAATGTCATCATGTATTTTGTGAGGCTTGAGACCCAATCTGATGGCATTATGAAGAGTTATTCTTTAAATGCTTTGTCTGAAGAGGCTTTACATGATATTCATAGATTTTCAGAGCAGGCCCCAATTTTAACTGAAGTCCTGTTAACACATCATTCCTTGTCATCAATAGCAGGGATTTCCCATCAATTTCCTACAATGGAAGCAGAAGGTAAAGCCACCATGTAAGTCCAAAAACTCAAGGATAATTAAGGAAAAAGGAAACTCAAAAGCAACAGTCATACCAGTTGTTCCAAAGTTGAAAACTACTTTTATAGTAGTGCTAAAATGGAAAAAATGAAATCTTTTCATCTTCTTTTACTTGTATGAGGTGTGATTGAAAAACATAGTGGATGTTTAAATTTTTAAAAAATTACAGTAAAAGATTGTGTCATTAATCTCCTTCAAAATATTCCCCATTACTTTGAATGTATTTATGTCATCATTCTCGTCATTTTCTGAAACAGTTCTGAAAGTCATCTTTCACGAGTGTCTTTAGCTGCCCTGTTGTGGCTGCCCTGATGTCTTGAATCAATTAAAAATGTTTCTCTTTCTAACCATTTTGACTTTGGGGAAGAGTCAGAAGCCATACAGTTCTAGATTTAGTCAATATGGCAGATGAGACACACAGTCATGTTTTTATGAGCATGTTTTTGTGTTGGACGATACTAGGGAGCACCTTTTGTCATATTTTTGATCACAACCTATTGGGATGCTGACAAAAAAGAGCTTCTAGAACTGCTTCAGAAAATAGCAAGAGTGATGGGATAAGGGTTTTTTAGGCAACAAGAAGGATTTTGACGGGATTAATAGGAATGTGTCTTTCACTGTAATTATTTAAAACATTTTAAAGCATTCACTGTATATTTTGAGCATCCCTTTTATTTGGATATTAAACAAGATCCACAGTTGATCTTGTTTTTCAAGAGTAGAACATAAGTGTCTTATCTTAATACAATGTCATATCTCAACTCAATTTACAGAAGGTTTAAATATCTTTAGGATTTGCAGCTGGTTCTCTATGGATCAAAGACCTTGCTTCCAAAAGGAACAACAGTGTTTTCCATTTACAAAATATATGAGAGTTTAAGCAGAATTTTCTTTGTGCTTACATTTTTCAAAAAAACTCTGTAAGTTAGGATGGACAGAAAGCATCATTTTTACTTTTATAAGCAAGGCAACAAGGATCAAGCAAGAAGTTAACATGTCAATTTTAAGACCAAGGAGTCAGGGAAGGATGGCATAGTATTTGAACTCTCATCTGCCTATGGTCAAACTTGATTTTGTAAAAATCCCCTCTTGCCCTTCTTGATACTGAGAAATAAACATATCTTATCTGGACAGTGCAGTGAGGTCTAGAATCTTAGGTTTTCCAAGCATCTTGTCAACCACAAGATGCATATGTAAAATGACTTATCCCTCTGGGACATTTTTCCTATCCTTTTAAAAAACAGAACCATTTTACTTCAACCAGAAAACCAACCTCTCCATGCTGAGGGCCCTGATCACACTCATTCTCCAAGTACCCTCAAGACTTCAAATTCTGTACAGTAAAGGACACAGCCAAGCTGCAAATGCCTTCCCTGTTCACTCAAAATCCATTTCCCAATCAGATACATGATCAGGTACACCTCGCCCCGGAACTGGGGGAGATTATACAGCTCTGAAGTAAAGTAAAACTGAGCTCCTTACAAAAGTAACCAGGCCCCAAATATATAAAGTAGTTTAAAATTTTCGGTAAAGCAGCTCTGAGAATGTTGTTGTTAATGGTGGAGACTTTACATCTCTTAAGAATTTGAGCTAGTTCCTAGAGGACTTGGGGTCTCCCAAGACATGGAGCAATTGCGCTTGCCACTTCTGGTCATGATTTTACCCACAGGCTCCTGTCCCTACCTCGAACAATAGACCAGGGAACATGGTGTGCATCGGAAAGTACATATAATTGTGATTCCCTCCTAAGGAGGTCATTTCTCCCAATTCGTTTATGTTCCTTTTTAGGGTGTAAGGAAAAACACTTTGGATGCCTGAGAGTGTGGAAGAAATAGCACCAGGTTAGGGCTGAAGAGAAACCCACTTTCTTCCTCAGGTGACTCCTTCCTCTTTTTTCTCCTGCCTCAGTAATGTGGCAACATGGGGTTTCTGACAGGATTCTGTGAGAAATTGCTCTTGTATAAGTTCCCTGACTTATGAGTGACAAAATTGTGTGTCATTATTTTTTCTACCATGCTAGGCAGGACTATGGCCCTCATTTCTCTTGTCAACCACCTACTAGCACAAACCACGGCAGAACAAGGCATGACCTCAAATGGGGCCTGTAACTTTTGGAAGCATTTATATTGTCAGCGACCCAAAAACAAAGTATCTCACATTAATGTGTAAGATACAACTATTCAAAACTAAAGCACATTAAAACACACACACACACACACACACACACACACACGAACAAAAAAAAGCAAATGATTGATAGGGCAAGAGGGGAAAATTACTTCATGAGACAGGAGCTAACTCTGATAAATCCTCTTTTTTTTTTTCTCAAGCGTTTAGTAATCCAAAGATTGCCCATTAGTGAAAGCTAATGTTTGAGATTTGCTTCACAACTTTCAAAATGACCCTAAGGAGCTTCTGGTACCCAGAAGCCACAGTAAAAGAGCCAAACGTAGGGAAAGGCCCCAGGACTCTCAGAACAATACTGACTCGGAGTGTCTCCTAAGGACAAAGCAATTCCTTCCTCCATCTTGCTTTGCTGTTGTTGGCCCATGCTTAACCCTCTTCATATTGAAACAGGCATCAGGAAGAGAGGACACTGCTTTCATTTCTACACAACAAGCAAACTTCCTTTACTAACTCAAAGTGAATTTAAAGCAAAAATCTTTGCTGGCAAAAAAAGTCCTTGTACAACTCAGCATTTCTGTCAAAAGCCAGCTATGTCTGTAGAAAGTGCTGAAATTTGAGTTTTACATAAGACAAAATGAAAAATCATATTTTCTACTCCAATTTGATTTTCCCTTTGTTCAGTGGAGACACTGCAGTTCACTTCACACCAGAGTTGGTGGAAGAAAGCTCCATCTGGATGTCATCATTATAAAAATATTGAAATAACTGTGGCAGCTCAGATGAATGAGTGTGGAAGAGGGCAGACCAGACATGTGAGCTTCTGGCCAGGCAAACTGCAGTCTGAACCCTGTCCCCACGGCTTACTGTGTGACTTTGGGTAGGGCAGTTAACCCCCGCTTTTTTTTTTGTTGTTTGTTTGTTTGTTTGAGTTAGAAATGATTGATACAAAGCACCCACCACAGTGCCTGACATAAAGCAGTCTTTCAATGACTATTAAGTGGAAATTTATGGGCTTTGCAAGAAATAAAATGTTTTCTAAATTCAAATCCATCGTCTTTCTATGGATCCTTTTGCAAAGGGATGTAGTCATATTCCCTTTCAAGTTTTAAAAATAAAATGTTCAAAAGCACATAAAACCTTTTGTCTTAAAGAAAGCTAAACAGAGTGAGATGTGCTTGTGATCCCAGCTATTTGAGAGATTGAGGCAGTTGGTTTGCAAGTTTCAGTCCAGCCTGTGTAATTTAGTGAGACTTGTCTCAAAATAAAAGGTGAAAAATGGACTTCCGGGAGAACATGGCAGACAGATAACAGCAACTACCGGAGGCTCTCTGAAAGACTCGGCTCAGAAGCCAGGAATGGTGCGGACTAAGGAGACATAAGCAGGTGGAGATATGCTCTGCTGACTCAGGAACGAACTGGGCTGAGAGAAACCAACTTGGAATGCAGTCCTGGTGCTAAAACAGGAACAGAAAAGCCTCGGTGTGGAGGCTGGACCCCGCGCCATTGTAAGCCGCGATTTGGGTTTCCCGCCGCGCGGCGGCTGGCTGCCTCTACAGTGGCTCGGCAAGGAGAGAGACGCACAGAAGCTCCGAGAACAGCAATCGGCGAACGGCAGGGAGGCGTGCACTAACTTGTGGTGAGGTGAGTGAGAGAAACTGACATTCCACCACAGTTTGACTCCAGCAGAGGACTTTCTGGGCCCGAGCAGTCCTGCGGGAGCAGGGTGCGGTGGTGACTCCAGCCACACATCCCCCTCTCGGGCGGGTTTGGTGAAAAGTGCCTGGCCTGCGTGACGCTGATGGCGGACCTGGTAGGCTGTCCCAACCCAGATCCCAGAGCCTGACGGTGGCCGGGAGGGGAGACGTGTAGGCTGCCTGGTCCGTAACTCCCTGGTGTGCAGCGGTGAGCGGGAACACCTAACCGGCGCAATTTGATCAGGCTGTGGCTGACAGGGAGAGAAGCTGGGCCTCTTATATAAGCTTGCATATATAAGGAACAGAGAAGAAGAGGCAGCATGGGAAGAGGCAGCAACAAGAAAGGCTCCTCGGCCCCCAATTCTGAGAAACAGGCAATAGCAGACACTGCACCAATACACATAAGGCGCCATATAGAGAGCCTCATAGACCAATTCAGGAATGAAGTTATCAACGACCTGAAGCTAGAAGTATGCAGAATAGTTAGAGAAATGCTAAGTACCACCCAAGAAAAAACAGGTGGTGGAATGGAAGAACAGAAAAAAAGGGGAGAATTGTTTGATGGAGAAAACAGAGAAAGCATAGAATACGTGAAGCAGGTTCAAAGGGACTACCAAGATACTAAGAAGTCTATCGAAGACTGGCATAACAGCTTGAAAGAAACTAAGGACAGACTATCTGAACTGGATGGAGGGCAGACTTGTAATATGGGAGAATGAAATGAAAAACTTCTTAAAAATAACAAAGAAACAAACAGCAATAATACAAAGACAAGAAGATGATAAGAGGATCCATAACTTAAGGATTAAGAACATAAAAGAAGAAGTAGGGACACAAACAAGTGAACTACAAAAGCTACTCACAGAAATAATCCAGGAGAATTTTCCTAATTTAGCAAAAGGTAAAGATACTCAGATGTATGAGGCATACAGGACCCCAGCTACCTACAACCCAAACAGAGCAACACCCAGGCATATAATAATAAAAATTCCAGAAATTCAATATAAGAACAGAATATTAAAAGCTGTCAGAGACAAGAAACAGACCACTTACAAGGGAACACCCATCAGAATTACAGCAGATTTCTCGGCACAAACCATCAAATCACGAAGAGCGTGGGGGGAAATAATTCAAGCTTTGAAAGATAATAATCTCCAACCAAGATTGAGATATCCTGCACAACTGTCCCTGGCAATTGATGGAAAAACAAGGTGCTTCCAGGATAAAGAGGAACTGGGGGAATTTGCAACCACCAATTCAACTCTACAGAGAGTATTGCAGGATATTCTAAAAAAAGAAAAATACAAAGAATCCAGAAATAATGGCAGAGAGGCCACAATGAATGGAGCAGAGAACAAAATGAAGAAGACAAACTGACAGCTACTGACAGAAAAAGAGCTCAACAGAAATGAGGCAGAGAAGATTGGATGATAGGAACAGCTATTTTGGAGAAAATGACATCTTAATAGGTAATACTGATTTAGTATCATCTTGTTTTGAAGTCTCATCTAGCTTTTGTCCTTCTGTCTCCAATGGTCTAAATAGGCTGTATCTTATTGGATTTTATTATGTGTCGGTGTCGCTCCCGGCCGGCAGGAAGAACATGCAACAATATCTGGCGATGGTCAGGCTTTTCTTTATTCTCTCCTTATACAGTCTGCCCCGAAGCCTCTACCGGTCCGCTCTCCGCGGCTCCTTCCGTGCTTCTTCTCTACAGTCTGTCCCGAAGCCTCTACCGGTCCGCTCTCCGCGGCTCCTTCCGTGTTTCTTCTCTACAGTCTGTCCTGAAGCCTCTACTGGTCCGCTCTCCGCGGCTCCTTCCGTGCTTCTTCTCTCGTGGCGGGAGAGGCACTCACTTTTATAGGGTTACAGTGGCCAATCAGTTCAAAGCGCGCGATGCGGGCTGATTGGCTAACATCAGTTGTTGCTAGGCAGACTATCTTACAGAGCGGGTTGTTTACCAAGCAGGAAGCAGGAGATAAGCGCCATCTTAGCACACTCGATGGGAGGGGTAATCTAGCTCAGGCTTTGCTCTTTCTTACAGGCCTCACGTCCGCCAAGTAAGGCGACCGGGCTCGGCCGTGGCTCCCAACAATTATGTATGATAGTATAAGCAAAAACCTTTTAAAGACAAGGAGATTATACAGAAACCATTGTTCATTTCCTGTTAGTCGATTCTAAATACTCTGTAATGCTGTCATTCTCTTGAATGGTTTTACATTGTTTTGATATACTTAATGCTACAGTATACGAAGTTGTACTCAAGGATTTGAAAGAAAGAGACAATATGGTAACTACTTTTAGGTTAGGATTATCTGGTGGTGAAACACTATTCTGCTTAAATGGTTATGTTTTGATCTGCGCTGTTTCGCTGTTATGCCCTCTTTTATCTCAATCTCCACTCCATTATTTACTTTTTTATCTTTATCCTTTTAATTAAAGGAAAAAAATAGCAGGATATATTATAGTAACCCACTTTGACTTTCCATTACCTTGATTTGAAGCCCTGTATTACTCTCACCATCTGGTTTTTAACTGATGTTCCCCTATTCTGTTTTGCTGGATAGTATCAGGTTCGAAAGTTTAGGCATCAGCTGTGAAGATAATGAGATTCATTATGACGCCCATTCTTGTTGACTTTTATCTACTTTTGAAGACCTACAATGTCTCCAATGTTTTGGTTTTGTCAGTTTTATTCTTTACTGTTTTGTTCAATTGTATTATAACTAACGATATAGGCAATTCTATTAGAGATAGCAGGAGGCATTATGGTAACCATTGTTGATCACCTTGTATTATGTTTTTACATTATCTATTATGTCCACCCTTTTGACTTGACCGATTCTGTTCTGTTATGTCACATTTGGTTTTACTCTCTTCCAAAAAAGTAATAAGAACCGTGGGAGCAATGAAACCCAAAATGTGTAATAGTCATGGTACAAAAGAGAGGAAAAGAAAGTGCTCCAAACTATATAACTGCATGTATATTTAAGTGTATAAGATAGAAAATGATATCACAGAGTTTTATTGGATCAATGAACAGAACTGTTTGCAGTATCATTGATGGAATGTCCACTTTACAAGCTTTAATTTTGTGACTTCAACAATTATTTCCAAGATGACAATATGTAATCCATTAACTAGTGATTTCCTACTGTTCATTTTTTTCTGTAAATCTGTATAATTTGTACCCTTTCCCTGCTTTTTTTTCTTTTCTCCTTAAATAAAATTTAAAAAAAAAAAAAGAAAAATGAAAAGAGTAGAGGCTGATAGAGAGCATCCCCAGGTCCAATTCTTCAACCCCACCCCTCCTGCCAACAAAGCTTTGTCACTTAATAATTAATTTGTCACATAATAAAATGTGATTTAAAAATTGCAATTGTGAATGAAATCCAAATTTTGCCATGCAGCACGGTGTGCTGGAGACTGGAAATCAGAGATTCTAGTGCAGATTCAATCAGGAACTTTCATAAGGAACAGCTCTTCTGGTTCCAGTCTGTTCATAAACACAGATTAAAGAGGTTGACATATGACTGATTTCGGCTACACAAACTTCCTACAAATTTTTCATGCATCTAAATTATGATTTAATCCAAGCCTAAAATATAATTTCATAACTTGGGAAATGGCTAATCATTTGTTAGCTCTTATGAAACTCACTAGAGTGGTTCTGTCTTCATGTGAAAGTAACCTTCAAATTCCCATTGGACCATAAAATTCAAAATGTTTGCCTGTTAAATATGTTCCACCAGACACTCAGGCATAGGAGAAATCTATACTTTCAATAAGGGCAAGACCCTAGGTTTAAAAATAAATGAGTAGGATCCTTAGATGTCGTAGCTCAGTAGATAAGAACGTGCAGTAGAGTAAGGCATCATTTTTTGCTTATTAGGTGGGGACTGGAGTATGTTCTTTAATTTCTCTAAGCCTCATTTCCTTATCTAGATGATGGAAAAAAGCAGCAACTGAATTTCATTGCCCAAAGGGTTTCTGAGAGACCTCCTAAGCACTCAATAGTGCTCGCTGTATTAGTCAGCTTTTTATTGCTGGGACCAAATACTCTACACAAACAACTTAAAGGAGGAAGGGTTTATTTTGGTTTGGCTCACAGTGCTTCCAGTCCATTGTCAGTTGGCTCCAGAGCAGAAACATGCAGAAATGTATGGTGCAGGGAAGGTGCCCAGCTCATGGTGGTCACAAAGTGAGCGGTTGATAGAACCAGAGAGGAAGGGCTGGTACCCACTCCCTCCGTCTAGGTCTCGCTTTCTAATGAGTCCATTCAGCTATGAACTCACTGACAACTCATCCGTGAGGTGAGTGCCCTCACAATCCAATTACCTTTCTAGGAATCTGTTAATCAAGTTCGCTACCAAGATTGATTGGCATACTAGGTATTAAAAATATATATTGTATATATTATATTACTTCTATATGTATATATACCCTGCTGGGCACAGTGACACATGCCTGTAATCCCAGATTTGAGGGAAACTGAAGCAGAATTCCAAATTTGTGTCCTGCCCCAGCAATTTAGTGAGATCCTGCCTCAAAACAAAACAAAAAAAAAAAATGCAGCAAAAGGGCCGAAGCTGCTGCTTAGGGGCGGGAAGCCCTTAGGTCCAGAGCTACAAGAGACAAAAACAATAAAACAACCCATTATTTCTCTGTCACATTTATCTAATTCAAGATAACAAGCAATCCAGCCTGCTTTTGATAGGGTCCATGTAAAATGAGTGGGAAGAAAGGGGGACTGGGAAGAGAAAGAGCAAAGAGAAAGAGCCTGGGAGAGAAAAAGAGCAGCCACAGAAGGGGCACCTGAGCAGCCACACAGCAGACCGGGAGGAAGCGGAAGGAGGTCATGGGATTTGTGAAAGAGTGTGCTCCAACTGGCCTGGAAGGCCCTGTCTCTGGCGGTGGTCTCAGGTATACCAGTGTGCAAAGTAAAGGGAAAGATGGCTCAACTGAGACTCAGAAGACTCAGTTGTTCAACTCTGCCTCATGTTAGTTTCTTGTGTTAATATTTGGCCCATAATTCCCCTCCCCAGTGAAATGAGAGATCTGAACTAAGCAGACTTCTGTCCATTCCAGCTCAACACATTCTCAGATTCCAACTGTCTTTGAAAATCATGAAGACACACAAGTTTCATATCAAAGTCCCTTTACAGAACACACCACCAACTCCTTACCAAAGACATGAAGAGAACTGATGAAATAGTTTTTCTTTCTCCACTTCAATCTCCCCCCCTCATATTTTCTAGAACCTTCTTTGTAACAACCTTCTTGCCATTTACTATCTGGCTACAAGTGGTGACCAGTCTGAAACTTCCCATCCCACTGCTTACGAAGGGTACAAATGTCTTTGAAATAGAGGGACTTGATCTAAAGCCGGGGGATACAAAAGTGGAAAATCCTGTGTCCAATATGGGAGTCACATCAAAGAAGCAGGATCGGGATCTCTTGGGCCCATCCACGTGGCCAGTGGAAAAATAATCTCCTGAAAAGGGGTCATCGTCTTCAACAACATTAGCAAAGGCACTGTGTGGCCTCTCAAAGCACATTTCCTCTTTCAGGTGACTTTCTTTCCTGCTACCTCCTCTGCTTTCCCTGTGGGTACAGTTCTTTCTGATTCTGTCGTAGTCACTGCGCCTCTTCGCATCAGACAAGACCTCATAGGCCTCTGATACTTGTTTGAATTTTTCCTCAGCTGCTTCCTTATTCTCTGGGTTCTTGTCTGGGTGGACCTGTAGGGCCAAATGGTGATAGGCCTTTTTGATGGTAGAGGAGGAAGCATTCTGAGGTACTCCCAGGACTTTGTAGTAATTCACCATGGTTCTTCAAACAGCCTTTCTCCACCAAGATACACAGTTTATGTTCTGAAGGATTGCCATAAAACATTGGAAAGGAAGATGGTGAACTCTTCAGTTTATGCTTTCCAATTTTACCACATGGTTTTTGGCATGCAGTTTCTTCAGGGAGGGAAGGAGGAATTACTTTTCCTTCAAGAGCGCACCCACACTCCCCACACTGCACAGCTCCCTGGGGTGGAGTTACTGTGAGCTCAGCATTCCGCCAGTGACTCAGGTGCCTGCCTTGCTATTGGTGGAAAATTGGGGTGAATATCATATGTCTTAGGGAGACCTTTAAAAGTACACAATAAATAAATACTGACTGGATTATTGACAGAGAGAAACTATTTGGGTGGTTTAGAAGTTTTTATTTTGTCACAAGCCACACGGGTCTTGCACTTGATTCAGAAACCCCATGTGTTCTGGATTATGTGAAGGCCAGTGTCTTTGGTGAGTTCATGAGTGCTTCCCTGCATTTAGTGGCACAGAGTGAATGATAAAGGAACTGTTTTATGAAAAAATCATTGGTACATATTTCTAATTCAGATAAAAACTCATTTAATCAAGTGAATAAACTGGGTCACAGAAATTAATCTAGGTAGATTATAGAAGGATAGACTGGGGGGAATATGGTTAGACATGAAGACTTTCCATATATTGTCAGATAAGATTTCTTTAGTTCCGGTAACATTAGCCTTTTTTGAAGTTTATTTCTGGACTTAGGAACTAAACTAAATAACAGCATCAAAACAGCAAATGCTTCTAAAAATGAAGAATTTGAAACTCCCAGGATGGAAAGGCTACTTCTTGTCCTTTTTACAGGACATAAAACTTCACATCTCCCAGACCAGTTTGTCACTCTGCATGGAGAATGAAATGGGAAGACAGAAGCACACCACCTCCAGGCCTGCATACTACAACCACTGATGCGGGTCTTCTTTGACCTTTCTTTCCACCCAAGTGAACTTGAAAGTTGCCAGGGGAAGATGACAGCACCTCCAGCTGGCTGGAGTTTTGAATTACAGTGAAGCAGGGCATTCCCGCTAGCCTTTGGATTATTTTATGGGCAAGAAATAAACTACTATAGTTAAACCACTGTTTATATTTTCATCTACTTGTGACATCAGTTAGTCTTCTGTAACACATAGATCATTTCTACATTTCATCTTCACTTTTAGAACTTACTTTTATGATGTCATCCACAGAACAATCCTACCTCTGTGACAGTAAAAGTCCAATATCCTAGCCTCTCTTCCTCCTCACTTCTGTTAAACCCAGTTTTTCATTTTATTCTATATGAGTTCCCTTTGGCATCTTCTTTTGTATGACCTCATGGTTGACTGTGGGAGCTGTTCTCCTCGCCCTCTGAAAGAGCCTTCGGAGGCTGTTAGCTTACATTTTGCCCAGGCCACACACTCTACTGCCCATCCAGAAGAAGTTCAGTTCTCCAGCTTTCCTAACTCCTCTACCCAATGCAGCTACAGAAACAGAGCCATGAAGATGGAATAGTACACATTTGCAATTTACCAATCTCAGCTGAGTCTGTGCAACATCTCAACAACTCTTTCGTTTATCCTTGTTTCATTCTCCCATGTGTTGGGGACCATAAATTCACAATGGCTAATTTTGCATATTTCCCTAAGGAATAGAAGGAAGGTTTGGGAATGCTGGTATCACTCATCTGAGATTTCCCATTGACTCTTCTGAGCATAAGATCATCTATGCCTTCTTAACTCAGGATTATACTCCAGGACAAGATCCTTCTTAGCGTAAGATCATCCACGCCCTCTTGAGTCTGAGTCTTCTGATAAGTTGTAATCCTTTACTGGCCCCATCTGTTACTGTATACAACTAATAGTGGCTTCTTGAGGAGTGGAGAAAGTCTGATCCAGAGACATTGCCTTCCCAGCCATTGATGCAATACTATACTTGTTTCTGTTTTTTATTTTTCTCATCATATTCTTAAGACAGACAATCAGGACTCGTTCCTGGGCTCCCAATACCATGCTTCTTGGTGGCCTTTTCTTCTTTAGTTCCTTATTAAACCTTAATTCTCACTGCTCCACTCTGAGAAGAGGACCCTCTTTTTTGTTTAGCTAAAAATAGTAGACACTGTAGGGTAACTTTCTTAAGAAGAAAATTAATGTCTCTGGAAACAAGTTGTATGAGGGTTCTCTAGAGAAACAAAGCCCATAAAATACTGGTCTAGATATAACCAAGGTAGACGTTGAGAAGTCAAGAGAGCTGGTGGTGTAATTAAATCCAGGTCTGAATGCCTGAGAACGGCAGAGGTGGGCAGGAGGGAGTGGATGGTGTAAGTCCTTGTCAGGGTACAAAGGCCTGAGAACCACGCAGGAGCACCTGTGTCTGAGGCCAGGGAGGTGTCTGTCCCAGGTCAGACAGAGAGCACGGATGTACCCTTCTTCCACCTTTTTTGTTCTGTCAGGGCCACTGATGGACTGGATATGGCCACCCACACTGAGGAAGGCAGATGTTTTTATTCAGTGTACTGATTCAAAGCTAATCTCACCCACAATCTCCTTCACATACCAAGAAATACTGTTTTTATCCATGTTTTGCTCTGTACTAATTCTGTGGTGTTCTTTTTTTGATACATGAATATTTTATCGATGAAATTGAACCATCATGAATTATAGTAGCTGATGTTAAAGACATTTTATTACAGTAAAGTGGGTATTACATAAAATGTCACGTTGACCATTTTTAAGTGTACTATGGCATTAATTACATTTACAATGTGGCATAGTCATCACCACTATTTTTAAATTTTTTTCTGTCTCTTCAATCAGAAGCCCTACTAATTCATCTCTTCCTTCCCTTCAGCCTCTGATAACTCCCAGTTTACCTTGTGTCTCTCTGAAGTTGCCTTTTAGCTATTTCACATAAGTGGAATTGTGCAGATCCGCCTGTCTTATTTCACTGAGCCTTGTGTTCTCAAAGTTCATTCTCGTTATAGCAAATGTCAGAACTTACTCCTTTTCATGGCTGAATATCCCATTTTATGGATACATCACAGTTTGCTTACCTATTTACTTGTTCACAGACACTAAGTGGTTTCCACCTTTGATGATTGGGAATAATGAGGCAAAGACAACAGCACAAGAGCCCTCATTTAATGCCTTTGGGTGGAACTGCTGAATCATATGGTAATTCTTAACTCTGTGAAGAGGTACCAAACTGTTTTCCACAGGGCCTGCACCATTTTGTATTCCCACCAGCAATGTACATTTTGTACAAAATTTTCCATTTCTCCACTCTCGCTCCTCCATACTCTTTTGATCTCATTCCTTTTCATATCCTTAAGGGGCCTGCTTCATTTAACTTTCCTCCATTTCCTATCATTTTAACCTACTCAACCCTTTGGCTACTTTCTTGCATGTAAATAAGTCTGGCTGTCTGCTCTCTTAGGAAGGAGGCTTCACGCTTGTGTGACCCTCCAGCCACCACCTCTCACCCCGTTCCTGCCTTCCACTGACTCATTTTGCTCGCCACACTCTTCTTCAACAACTCCATTATGACTGCATTTGCAGACTTTACCACAGTCCCAGAATTCCCTGCACTTGACCTTCTTGAGGTATTTTACCTTGATTATTTAATCTTTCTTGAACTTGAACAGCTTCTATGAAACTGCTCGTTACGGATTCTCTCCCCATTGCCTTGATTGTTTTTCTGTCCTTTTCAAGTTGCCTTTCCTCTCTCAACATTTAAAAGTTTGGTATTTCTCAGGGTGCTGCCCTTGGGGCTTTCCCCTTTCTAAACACCTATCTTGTTCTCTCCCCTCCTATGGGTGATGAGAATTCATGTATCTGCTTGTGGGCCCCACTCTTCCCTTTAGGTGTCTGCTAGATAGCTTCTCGTAGGTCACTTACACTTAATGTGCTCCAATCTATTATCCCTTTTAAAACTTAACTCCATGCATGTTCCTGTGAGTGGCACTACTTTCCAACCTCCCCATCTGGGAACCTCGCAGTTACTAAAGCTTCCTCTCTCTCCTACCTTTGAGCCCTGGGTTCAAACTTGTAGCTATCACACACACACACACACACACACACACACACACACACACACACAGATCTGACAAATTCTCACTCTCTATTGGCCATGATTGCCTGGTTGCTGTTTTATACATACAGCTATATATCATATGACAATGTTTCTGTCAATGTCAGCATATAGATGGTGGTCCAATTAAATTATATGTCGCTATATCACCTAGGATGTCCAAGTCATGCAAGTACACACTGGTATTCTCACAATGAAATGGTTAAAGGATGCACTGGCCACCATTTAGTCCCATCATTAAGTAATGCATAGCTGTACTTTCTAATCTATCTCTTCCTTTCCATCTCCAATGTGACTATCACAGCGGCTTTCCTGCCTTTGGTCTCCTTGTCCTCCAAGCCACCATCCAGTCACCACTACTCTAGAGGTTCAAAAACACAGATATCATCATGGAACTCCCCACTTAATATCCTTCAGTGATTTCTGAATGGCTTTTTGGTGAAGTCTGTCTTCTGTGAGCCTTGTTCAGTTTCAGTCTCATCCCTTGACATCCTTTACATCTCCTACAAGTTGATTGGAGTTCTCAACATAAGCCATGTTGTTTTATGTCTCCGTGTTATTGTATCTGGTCTTCACTATATCCAGAATCTGTGTTCCTCAAATGGTTCTCAGTTGGTTTTAGTAAAGTAAAATAATGCTAATCATATTAGTAAACATTATTTTGCTTCAGTAGTTATACATCTATTTTAATGAGTCTTAGAAAAAACTAAACTACTATAAAATAACTAAGTAAATAAGCACCACTCACCTGGCTATTTTATTGGATATTACACCTGTTCAAATTTCAAGCAAATGATATAAATAACCATTGGGGCCTTTAGTGTCACAGTTAATCCTGATCTGTCCACTTGGCATTGGATTAAGAAATGCTTAAGAGATAAGCAGAGTGTGGTCCTGGTGTGTCTTGGTGGGGCACAGAGGGGCGGCTTTGGGTATTATGCATGGTCTTTGCTTTCTGCTTGTTTCATGCTCTCTTCCCTGATGCCGTGAACTAAGCAGATTTATGCCACCAAGCTCTTCCACCATGATGTTCCTGCCTTGGAGTCAGCTGACTATGGACTCAATTCCCTCAATCCAAGAGCCTAATTAAAAATAATTTTCTTCTTAAATCGTGTTGGTTATTGTTTCCAGCAGTGGGAAAGCTGATTAATACATTTATTTTGTATAAATCTATTATGTTTCAATAAAACATAATAGTTTTGTTATCAGTTTTGTTTTCAGTTCTCTTGGCTCCTTTCCAACTGTTAGCTGGTTCGCTGACAGTGTCAATTTGAGTAAGAAACATCCAACTAAGTGGGATCAGCCCAGCTCTGAGTGTGGCTGAGGGGATTTACTGGAGACAGAATACCTAGCCTAGGGTGTCTTGTCTCCTGAAAAGTGTAAAGGGGGAAAGGAAAAAGGAAGTCTCGTTTCTGTTTCTTCAGAGGAGACCCAGGCTTCACCTTCACCTTGAATATTGTCTCCTGGCTTCCAGTGTAGACTCTTCAGCCTCCAGCTCACTCTTCAGGTGTTCAGTGCAAATCCTTTGGCCTTCTGATAAGAACTTGCATGGGCCACCTCTGCTTTAGGCTTTCGACTGGCCCTTTCCGATCCCCAATGCACAGACCTTTTGTACTCATCCACACCCAGTCTGGGGTTGCCATTTTAAGTCAATCGTGTAAACTCTGCATTTGTAGGTCTTGCATTAAATATGTTTTTTTAGTAAGCACTGACTGATACATAGCCTTCCCCACTTGCTTGTTATTTTAATATTGTTTCTAAATATTTATGGGCTGAAAAGGCATATTAGCAGTCTGAGTTGCCACATTCCCTATTTATTATACCATAAAATATTTTAAGCATATCAGTAGCCTTCAATTATTAAGATATATTAAACATCAGAGCTCTTTGAATATTCTCAATACTGGTACTATTAAAAGTAATTCATAATAAAGTCATTAATTTCTAATGTGTGAAGTTTTAATTGGCCTAGTTCAGAGATGGCTTACAATGAAGCTAATGAAGCTTGAGTTTCTGTTTAACACTTTGTGTGCATCCTTTAGTTTATTTTTCCAAAGTTGAATCTTAGAATTGAATAAATCTGAGGCTGTACAAAACCTGGATTGCTCCCTGGTTTAATCAGAAATATCCATCTAGAATGACTGTGGTTGAATGTAACCTGGGCATGACTTAGTACCCTATGCTCAGTGTTGCCCTCATCGTCGCTCCCCCTAACTAGTCCATTCTGAGGTAGGTAATATACTTGGTAATGAGAAGCAATAGGAAAGTTTATTTACCTTCACTAAGTCAGTGACCCCAGAAATTGGCTCAAGGTCAGTAATCAGCTAGCTGAAAAGAAATTCCAGTCTTCATGTTTCAAATGAGTGACTTAATCAGTTGCGTTAAAATACTGTTGAGTAAAATATTGTTCATATTAATGTGGCTTGAAGGAAGGAAGCCACAGAGTAAAATTAATTTGTCACCTTGGGTTGCATATTATCTTGTCACGATACTCTGAAAGAAATGACTATATATATATATATATATATATATATATATATATGAATAAAATCACTAATGTCACTCACTTGTAGGTAAAAGACATTGGAGCTATATGACAGTGATTGAATGGCAGCTCTCTATCTGAGGTCTTCTTTGCATATATTCTATGTGTGTCAGACAGATAAAGGCATGGAAATGGATACACTACAGCAGGGAGAATTGTCTTTGTGACTTGCAGTTGTAATTTACAATGGAATGCCACAATTTCTTAACTGGCATCTGAGATCATTGCTTACAGATGGCAATAGAGATTTACTTTGTCAAATTTAGTCTTCAGAGTTTGACAAAATAAATCTTATCATAAGTGTTCTGAGGAAGGTGATGATACTTTTGAGTAAGTCAAAATGGTCTTTCTTAAAAACCAAAACACTTAGGAAAGTAAAATTCCTGAGATACCTTTGATTCTTGAAAAACAGTCATCCCATATCTATAAACAAGTGTCAGTTTCACACCACCTATTCAAAAAACTTCTGTGGTTTTTTTATTGGGCACTGTAAGTACACTTCATGAGGACCAGTTCCATGATCATGCCTTTGAATCTTCATATAGGAGCTTAAACAATATTTTATTTGTTCAACTCGATATTTACTTAATAAAAATGAGTGAAGAGGCAAATTCCCCAGGATCAGCCAGTGACCATGAGGAAACTAGGAGAAAATAAACCGAGATTCACAACACAAACTCTTATCCTTCACTAAAACTTCGATGATCCATACACTAGAAAAGACCTGAGAAAACAGTGACTGTACCATAGCGTTGGTGGGAAACAGATGGTACTGAAGATGTTGTAATCACCACCTTCTCTGGGAAGGGCTCCTACTGCTTCCTGCTCTCACAGTCCAGGGAACACTTAAGAGCTCTGTTAGTAAGTCCAGTGGGCAGAGGGCAGAGTCCCTCCACCAAGCAAAAACAGTTGCAGCCCTGATGACATAGGCTACATGCCAAGCTAAGAGCAAGTAACATTATCGGTAATAAAATGGGTCTGGCCAGAACAGTAATACAGACTAAAACACACACACTGTTGACACTGAGTCATTGGTGGTTGAGTGACCATGAGCTTAGCCCTTACCTCTTGTTAGTTCTTTTGGTTTGTAACTGTGGTTCATGAATGAGGTTCAAATCAGGCTTTCCAGAAAACTTGATGGAGATAATTACATTGGGGGAAAGCTAACAGACGCAATCATTACGTGGTAGCAGAATGTCATACAGGGAAAAGGAGGTGAGGCAAAGATCATTAGCTTACCCCACCTGCTTCCTCATACCCCAGGAACTGGAGTCAGTATTCCTATCCATCAGAAGAATCTCACTCTGTGGCCTAATAGCTTCCAAAATGTCATACTGCTAGAAAGCTATATCTAGTTTTATTTGGGTGTGGCTGCTAGAAGAGAGCACCCAGCAATGTACTATGAAACCAAACCATGAAGACAGATTCCCCTCTCAAATTCAGCTCACATGTTGGGGGGCATGTTTGGCATCCATATTGGTATCTTAGCATGGGTAGCTTTAACAATAGTACAAACTGGATGGTATAAACAATTCAAATTCATTTTCAGCAGTCCTACAGGCTGCAAGCCTAAAATCAGGATACCAGCATAGTCATTGTCTTGGGGATGATTCTTTTTCTGGCTTGGAGATGGCCAGTTAAGTTTTTGCTTAACAATACATGGTGGTAGGGATGGATATCGAGCTCTGTGGCTCTTCTAAGAAGGGAACTAGTCCTGTCATGGAGCTCCAACCTCAGGACCTTATCTAAACCTAACTATCTCTTACAGCTGAACACTATCACACTGCAAATGAGGTTTTCAAATTAGGAGTTTGGGAGGACACAATCATTTGCTTTGTAATAGCCATGAAATAGTAATCTCCTAACTTACTGGCAAGTGCACTGCCCTTTCTGAATTTGCTCTTTGCAAAAATGGTTTTAGTGACTTTTCTCTGTTCCTGTCCTAATTCTGTCAAATGGCAAGGCAAAATCTTTCCTCAAAGATTGTAGGATATGGATGACCATTCTTACGGATCTCCATGGCTACGTCCTAGAAATATGCCTGGAAGGGTCATGAATTTAGGTTGAAGATGGTCTTTAGTTTTCTGGTCAGGATACATTTGGTGGCTGAAAGTTATCTGGCCATCTGCCTGAGGTCATTGCCAGGAAGATCTTAGAAGTGAGACTGGCCAATGGAAGAAGCAGGTTAATATGAGAGAGGGCAGCTGTAGCAAGGACGATTCGCCATCCTCATAAAACTCACGGCAATGACCTGTCCTTCTGGCCTGAGCCTAACCAGTGATTTCCACCTTACCCTCCATTTCCTTTGATGAAAAGAGGAAAAGCAATGGTCATTTCAGAAATTTAAAACTTGAATAATTTCCAGGGAATAATGACAACAGACTTTTCACCCACCCATAGATAAGAATGATGGAACTTGAATTTCTAGACCAGGATTGCAAAATGTCAGTCTTCTGGGAATTCATTTCCCAGACTCACCACTGGGTTGGCAGACTCATCACTGTAGCAAGATGTCTGTGTCCCCTTTGAAGGATTTCTGAATGAAATGTTCCTCTTTTCATCTCAGCATCTCTAGTGCCCAGAATGATGTCATCTATGGGAGAAAAGCTGGCTCCTGGGACAAGCTCAGAGCTGGACAATTCCGTCTCTGAGATCATGCACAGAATCTGAAAGGTCCAGAGAGTACACTATCTTCTAATCTGGGACATCTGCCTTAGGGGAATCTGAGCAAAAGTTCCACCTGAGAAAGCTTTTGGACATCTGGGAATCTGGCCAAGAGATCAATTAGCTAAATATCTTTTCTTTCTCTCTCTCTCTTTTTTTTTTTGGTTAACCTTTTACAATATTATTTAAATTTAATTTTAAGAAAGACTTTCTCAATTGCAATGACCCAAGTGGACATTATACCATTAAAAATCAAAGTAAAATATGTTCCAGCTGATTTCTTCCACTTTCTGACTTGAGCTGTTATTTTCCACTACAATTTTATTGTAGAAATTTTCAGGCATAAAGAATAGTTGCCATAGTTTTATAGTGAACATATATATTCCTACCACCTAAATTGTGCAATAAATATTTTCCATACTATCTTATATACCTATCCATGCAGTAAAATCTCTCTTTAATTATTGAATTTACACTTTGAATGCATATGTCAGTACATCTGCTTTCAAATACATTAGTTGCCAAACTATGCTCCAATATTTTTATACCTACTTTCCTTTTGAGGTAAAACTTGTAGACTATGTGATGTGCAAGTACAAATCACTGAGTAGACTGGAGTGTACCTAATGACCAATGCAGTGACCTGAAATCAAATCCTTCATCAAGACACAGGGTGTCAACATCCCAGAACCATACATGGTGGTAGGGATAGATATCGAGCTAGATAGATATAGAACAGACCCATTCAGCATTATTTCTGTTGAAATAATGTTGTGCTCCATCACACCATGTAGTGTTCTGAGACTCACTCAAACTGTTATACATGTCAGGAATTCATTCTTCTTTATTCCTGGAAACCATCCCATTGTATGAGCATATCATTGTTCGTGCATTCATTTCCTATTGATGTACATCCAGGCTTCCAATTTTTGACTACTATAAAAAAGCTGTGAGGAACAATTTTGAATAAAGCTCTTTATAGACATATGTTTTCATTTCCCTTGGGTAAATACCCAGGAGTGAAATTGCTGGAGCAGGGGGTAGATGTATGAGTGTTTATTTTACACTCCTACCAACAATGTATGAGATTTCTGGTTGCTACACATCCTTGTGAACATTTGGCAATGTCAGCCTTTCTAATCTTAGTTCTTCTGGTGGGTGTAAAGTGATTTAAATGTCTATTTTGGCAAATATTCCAAAATAGCAAAAATACATATGTATAAGGTTCAGGCTTGGAGGAAATGGTGGTTGACAAGATTAAAATATGTGGTATTAGAAAAGTTACTTTATCCAAACTAGGGTTTTACATTCAATAGCTTGCAAATATAATTAATGCTGAAAGAACACAGAAGCAGCCAAACACATTCTTCAATTTGAAGTTATAATGCTAGAAAAGTGAAATTAATACCTAGAAAACTATAGCATGCATTAATATAAAACTAGGAACTCTGTATATACCTACATAGCTGATCTGCATGGGCCATAATGTGCTCCCCAATTTGCTCCTCATGGTCAAACCCACTGGGGAACTATCTCAATAGATTTGACTCAGCCAACAAAATCGAGTGGTCAGTCACCTGGACAAGTGGGAGAAGCACCTCTCTTGGTCTTCCAATAACAACCCTGGATCTCAGGGAAAGGAATTTGCATTTTTGAGTATCAACACTGTGCTCAGAACTGTCAGGTGATTTTTAAGTTTTGTTGTTTAGTTCTTACAACTTCCTATAAAGTTAATTATTGATAGCATTGCATTAGATGTGAAACCAAGCCTTGGAGAGCTATAGTTACTTGTACAGGGTCACCTACTAACGAAAAACCAAAATATCACACTAAATCCTGCACTCTACCTTGCTAAGTACATTGCTGAAATAGTTCAATGGGCTAAGTTGTAGAGGGAAGGAATTATTTATCTGTCACTCGCATCTTCCTTTGCTTTCAGTTTCTTAAAGCCTCACTGCTCTGCGGTCCTCTTCCTCTTCACCCCATTCTGCCCACCGAGATGAGGTAATTTTGTTTGTCATGTTTTTCCAGGCTGAGATACCTGCTCCTGAAAAGCACGGGCTTGCTCCTCAAATCCTGCTGTTCGGAAATAATCCACTACATCCATCACGGCCCAGTCTGCAGGATCAGGTGGTCTCCCATTTTCCATGGAACTGAAAAACACAAATCCAGACAATTGTCATAGTATAGTATACAGGGACATGTGGCCAGGCTCTCTCTTTCATATCTCACTGCTAGTATGGGCCAGCTCATTGGAACCCTAGCATTCTCTTCCCTCAGAAGCATAAAACCAGTCTACTCCTGGTAGGACTATGATCATCTTTTGTTTCTTGGTTTCAGATGAGTATACTTTTACTGAGTTAGTCATTGTTTTCCTAATAAACTATTTCACTTTTTGTGTAATACTTTTTTTCCTGTGCTGGGGATTGAACTCAAGGCCTTGTACATACTAGACAAGTGATCTATCATTCAGCTACATCACTAACCCTTGACATATAAATTTATTTCTTCACATTCTATTTTTTAAGCCAGGGACATTGAGAGGAGTCCAGTGACTACAGCTTGACATGCTTACTGCAATTTGTGGTATGGATGTTCACTTTGCAGTATGACTCCAGCGTACCCATAGTTATTTCCCCATCCCACCTCCATGTATCCAAAGATAAAGGTCTTCCCAATCGGTTGTGCCTTTTTATAGATCTGGACCTTTGAACATTCCGTCCCAGACACCTAGAATGACCCCTCATCTAACTTTCCACAATGAAACCCTATTCTTTCTACCAGTTCAAACTCCACTTCTTCTTGGAGGCATTTTCAGGCATCACCAGGAAGTGATGCAGTTATAACCTCCTTTGAGTTCTAGCACTCCATTCAAATTCTCACGGTAGTACTCTTCACACTGGATTACTCTCTGGATAATCTCTCCCACTAAGGTGGGATATGTCAGCTAGAGAAAGAGATACACATCTGAGCTTGGACCACTTCTCATTTTTTAAAGTCCTAGTGTCAAGCATGTTCTTAGGAATCCAATCAATATTGTTCAAATGAATTAACAGTTGATAGTCAAATATTTGTCTGAGAAGCTTCAAGTATTACCCTTGTCATTGATTTAAAGAGGAGGGATAAAATAAAATGAAGAAATAAGAGTGAAAATAACAGTGAAGTTGCCGGGACTCTGCCTCATTTGTGTTTCAGGATTATTTCCAAGGTGATTCTCCCAGAGCACACATTTGATCACATTGCTACTCTGGCTAAAATCCTTCAAAGACATCCTCTTACTCTTAGGACAAGTTCCAAACAGCTTAAGCTGTCTTTGCAGCCAAAGGCCTTTCACCTCTCCATCTAGGAACACAATTAGAGAGCAAAGACGACCTATGTAGTCCTCATCCATATTACACATATAAGCCTTCAGGACACTGACCGGTAATCATACAAGTAAGTGTACAGCTGCAAGTTGTATAAATACTGTTGTATCATGACACTTTAATGTCTGGGGATGCTTTCTTGCGGAAGTTTCCTTTGAGTTCAGGACTACAAGGCATTCAGAAGTTAACTGTATGAGGGAGTCAGGTGACAATTATTCTAGGCTCAGGAGGAGCACACAGTCCTGGAGGCTACACTGGGTCTTCTGAATTTTATTAAGAGAAATGAGAAGTTGTTGACTAATCTTATATGAACAGGGTGAATTGAAAAGAATTCTAGTTTGAAAAAAAGAGAGGGCATTGGAGAGGGGTCAGAGGAGATGGAAAGATATGAATGAGAAGTTTATTAAAGCACTTAAGCAGGAGATCATGGTGACTCAAGCTAGAATGATGGCTAAAGGAAAGAAGAATGGGGATTTTAAAATATTTTTTAAAAAATTCAATAAATGAAAGCAGCACAGCTCAATGGTAGGCTAGACACACGGAATAAAGGGAATGGAGGTGTCATGAAACTAAGTGGATGGTCAGACCTTCACTGAGATTGTTGTTGACACTCTGAACTACAAGGAGAGACTTAAGGTGGGCTAGGAGTGTGGAGCTCAAGGGAGAGGAGTGAACTAGAGGTGCACATCTGGGAGACAGAGGCAGTTAGGTGATAGCTGAACCTTTGAGAAAGGATAAGGGAACAAAAGTGCCTAGAATTAAAACTGATGAGATTCAAGATTTAGTAAAAGGTAGGTTCTGAGTTCAATACCTGGTACCCCACCCCAAAAACCAAAACCAAAAACAAACAAACAGATGAAAACTGATCCAATGCTCACTAGTTAAAAAGCATTGTTCTGTTTTGCATTTAAAGACCTAATCCCTAAACAACGCATGCCCAAGTCTATATGTACCAATGTCTGTGTGCACACATATCGAATCAGTTAACAGTCAACATTTATTGGAGGAAAATTCCTATTTTTTACCCTAACATTGTCAAACATTTATTGTGTATGTTTAAATAAATGCTTAGTGTTTTTTAATGATCGATGTGCTGGGATTTTCTATTATCACATTTACATACGCAATTCATAAGCTGACATTGAGGACCCTCCTCAAGGTATTGTTTTACTTTTCCCTCACACTTAAAGTGTACTTGAGGAATGTTTGAGAATCTATTGTTCTTACAAATCTTTTAGGTTTTCTAATCAGCTCACTTCTACCAGCCAGTACAGAGTCCCAGTGGACGCACTCTTAAGTGCCTGGAAAAAGTGAACTCTGAATTCATCCTCCCTTTGGTCGATTTCAGTTAGCCACTCTACTTAACAAGAAACAGTTATTTGATTGTAACAAGGAAACATACCACACTGTGATTTAAGGGTGTGACAATTTTCTGATTCTTGTTCTGTTGCGGTGCAATCCCATCATCTCCATAATTCTGAGAGAATCTTGATTACTAGCAATGGCTTAGAGAATAAAGATGGTGAAACAGCTGGCAGGGTACCACAAGGAACAGAAGCAAGATGGACCTGGACACTGTCTCACATGTAAGCTAAGGGAATCCACCCAACAGATATAAGGGGTTAAAAGCCATTTAATGTATTTAATGACTGTTTTACATGAAGTCAAAATAAATGAGAAATGTCTGCATGAGATTACTCATAGAATGAGAGGAAAAATCTGACTCTCTACACACCTGTAGCTTACCAGAGCCTAAGGTCTGTGTGGTGTTCAGTTGTTACACAGTAAAGACCTGTCATATTAAATGGACTAACAACCAGAAAGCACTTATAGTCTACAAGTCTACCATGCCTTTCTCACAGGTCCAAGGACCAGCATTTATGGCCAAACTGAGATGTTGAATATTATTTCCTGATAAGTGGCCATTCTTTCTGTAATTTGTGCATATCAGAGCCCAGAAGGAATTCAAATGGCAGATGGTGGTTCCATTGTGGCCATTAATTTTGCACGGATGAAATGACATGACAAGATATCACTGTCATACTGGGTATTTGTTTTTCACTTTCATCATAGCAAAATGTTTCTTAAAAAGCAACAAATATTAAAATGATAAATTTATTATGAATATTTTCCAGGCATTGGAATCTTTAAAAAATTACATATGCATATATTGCCTTATTGCAAAAAATTAGCAAGAAATGAAGTATAGAATTTGCCTTCAGTTCCCTCTCTTAGATCAATCTTTCCACTTAACCCAGTCATCTTTTAGCACTCGCGCATATGGTTAGATACATCATGTATTGATAAGAATTTTATCATGCGTGAATAATTCACACTAGGAAACAATTAATCCCTTAATTAAACAATCACTTCACTTTTAAAGAGCACTAGAGAGACAATCATTGGGACAGCAATGCCATAAATAACCAATTTGACAGCTATACACAGGTTAATTGGGGACTTTTTGGTGTAGGCACATCATAATATTAAGTTCTGGCAGCAAAATATCTCCATTTCCCTTAACATCAGGCAAGTGGAAAACAGTTGTAAGTCTCTCTGAATCTATCACACATACATTTTATGGTGTTAGGATATACGCTTTGAGGACCAGGGAGGCCAAAAGACCAAAAGGCCAAAAGGCCAAAATGTAATCCATATGTGCTTCACAACTCCAATTACGTTTATTTGTATTTCTAGTTCAAAGTTTGAAGAAAAAGATATTTGAAATACTAGTTAACATATTATGGTAATATTTTGTTATGTTACTCATTTTTTCTGAAAGCTAATTGTGAATGTTACTTATTTTATGTTCAGAGGCACTATTCCTACTGTCTTAACCTTTATAACTTATTTTAAAATTAAATTAGTCAATTCTCTGCCCACGTTTTAACACAGCCTTTAGCTAAAAACAATTTAATTTTGAGTCTAATAAATTTATATTGATCTCTCTCTGCCTATGACATGACTACGAATGAAGCAGCTAAGTGAGTTTTAGTTTTATCTTTATTTTTTGCCTCTCCCTTTGTGCTAAGAATTAGAGATCTGGCTAAAAGGCAGTCCTGAAAGAGAAAGGATGATTCAAAGGTTCCTGACAGAGTGCTTTTCATTTAAAAATATTCAGACAAATAACAGTTGGTTGCATTTAGATGAAACATACCCAAGCGAGAAAGCATTAGGAAAGCAAATCTCATCAGGTCTTCCATATATCAAGTTCTTTAGTTTAGCACTGAGAGACTTAATTCAAACATCACTTTCTAGTTTGCACTGAAACCTGGCAGGGCATTATCCTAGACTTACCCATGTCCACAGCTTTTCTTATGTCATTTAAATGCTGTTTGGTTTCCAGGAAGTGGAGTCCTACTTTTTTAAAAAGGTACCAGTTAAATATTCTCTTCAAATATCTGCAGTCAATTTTTTATTCCACTCACAGATTAGAAAATTGTAACCTGCCTGTCGTGAGACAGGCATTAATAAGGAAATTCATAGTCTAATGAAGTGGGGAATCTCAAGTGAGCTGTGAGATGAAGAGTCATGTTTGTTCACTCTCTTATTCCAAAGAGTCACATAAGGAACAAGATGAATAGAGGGAGGAAGGATGCAAAGTCAACCCAGCAGTGTGATTCAGGCTGTGCTAGGTGTATGGATAAGCAGCTTTAGGGCCAAGAATCAGCAGCAACACCAGGAGCAGGAGCTGGGCAAAGGCGTATGGGTCTTCCTGCATCATGTCTTACTCCTATGCTCCTACAGCTGATGGCTTTCCTTTGAAAACACACAGCACTCTAACATAG